TTAATTCATCGCCATCTGGTTGGTTGAAAGTGAACTCCGATGGCAGTCGACATCAGGATTTTCGGCTCTTTTCGTGTGGAGGCGTCATCCGAGATCATGAAGGTAATTGGAAGTCGGATTAAACTAAATTTATAGATATTTGTTCTGTCCTTGAAGTTGAGATTTGGAGAGTATACATGGGTTTATTATGTGCATGGGAGATGGGAGGAAACCATTTCCTTGTAGAAGTTGATAATATGGATACGATTTGGCTATTTCAATCAGTCGTATGAAACCGAAGTCGGATAAAGATTATTGAGTATATTGTTAGAAAATTATGAATTAATTGAATAAAACTGACGCTCTTTATGATAAATGATGTCACTTGGTGAAAATATTTATTAATAATAAGTTATGTCATTTGGTTTAAAGTTGCATCCATTCAATTATACCTATTAGTTTTTTAACTAATCTCTTCATCAAATGGTCTTAACTCCTCGTCAAAATGTCATAACCCGATTAATTTCCTCTCCTCTATAAATAGACTAGTTAAGGCACATATCTTAGAAAAACAAGTTACATCATGCAAGGTTAAAATATTGGAATAGGAAAACACTTAGAAAATTCCTTCAAAATTCGTTCTTTACGGTGAAAGAGAAAGGCAAGATTGTGTTCGACTGATCACTATGGTTGTGCTTACTGTTGTGATCGTTTGTTGGTTACTGGGAGACTGACGTCCAACGTTACTCAAAGCACCGAGAAGAGGACGAATATGTCTTAAGATTGTTAGACAAAATGGTTAATCCGAGACATAAACATAATAATAATAAACAAATATTATCATGTAAATGAACGAAGCAAAAATAAATAAACAATTAAGATAGAGGAATGAAAATTGGTTACTCATATGTAGACATGAAATAGGATGAGCGGAGTTAGATAAATAGAAGAGCAAGTTTTGTTGAGGCATGTATGAACAGTTTCCTTAAGACAAATTTGTCCTCTCTTCGGTGCTTTGAGTAACATTGGAAGTCGGTCTCCTATGATACAACAACAAAAGGTCACAACAGTAAGCACAATTGTAGTGAAAAATCGAACATAATCTTGCCTTTCTCTATCACCAGAAAGAGCAAATTTGGAATGAATTTTTCTAAATACTTTCCTATTTCAAAGTTCTAAACTTACATGTTGTAACTTGTGCCTAAGATTTGTGCCTTAACTATCTTATATATATAGGAGAGAAAGGATTGAAAGGTTAAGACCTTTCGATGAATAGTTAAGACATTTTAGTGAAGAGATTTGTTAAATAAGTATAATTGAATAGATGCGACTTTAAACTAAAAAGTAAGTTTATTCATCAAATGAAATGACTTATTATAATAAGTCCATTTACCAAGTGACATAACTTATATAAATAGCATCAATTTTATTCAATTATTTATTATTTTTCCAACAATCCCTCACATGAATAAAATTGTTGTTTTCAAACACTGACTCGATGTGGTTATAGATTCTACATTCGATATTTGCATAGGATAGGTAGGTGTCCCCGTTTGAACCTTCCCTAGTGAAAATATAATTACCTTACTAGATGTTTAGTGGATGTGATGTCCTTGAACTGTCCTACCGTTCGTGTAAGCGATGACATACCTCACACAAAAATCTCACTAACAAGAATTTGGTTATCATAGTTATGTCTGTAGATATTCAATTTGTCCGGGGTCTTATTCAAAGCCCAAATTACAAAGGGTCATTTGATCCAATTCCAGCAACCCAACCCAAGACCTGTTTGGGGCCAGAACTGATCCAAGCCTAAGGGAAACCCTAAATTTTGATAAGGTTTCCATAACCCTCTAGCGTTGCGCATCAGGAGTCGTTGGATTCAGGGAGATCCAACGCCATGCATGCTTTAGTCATTAGGGTTTTAGGACCCTTCAGCCGCCACCTTGAAGCGCAACCTTCGGATCTGGACCCATCCAACGGTCCAGATCACGTTCTGCTGCCAACCCATCTCGATCACTAAGTTGCCACCGCCGTTGGACCCAATTACGACGGTCGACCATCCCACGTGAACCTTAGCAACCTGCAATATCAAGAGAAACACGACAGAAGACTCAGAACCAAGTTTCAAGGCAGCAAAACCCAAGTCAACGAAGATAAACTTGCAGTAGACTCACGGGATTTTGAAAGAGAAATCAGAAAACAAAAAATATTGTAAAATCTGGTTCTATATAAACCAGAACCAAAATGTTGTAAGGGGTTGGACCCTCAGATATTTTTCCAGAGAAGAAAAAGCAATAAATATCAAATATTTAAGAAAAAAAACTACCAGCCATCAACAACAAAAAACGGGAATAGAGACCAAGCAACCATCCAAGAAGAAAACATAAAAAATAGAACGACCCGTACCTTTCTCGTCTGTAAAGACCCTCGTCGCCCTCATTAGGAGGCAGTGCCTCGTTGAATCGAAGGTAAACCCTTAACCCTTCGTTGGTTCCTGGTTGGTTTTAGGTGTGCATGTACGTTTTGGGTATGGAGTTGGAAGCTGAAGGGGTAGATCGGGGTTAGGCCATCGTTTTTGGGTTAGGTTCTAGGTAGGTTTCTGGTCAAGGTTGCTCATCGGAGTCCTCCGGGGAGGTAAGAGGTCACGGTGGCCGTAGTGTTGTGAGGTTACTAGAGGGTGAAGCCGGTTGGGTTTTCAAGTTTAGTTTGGGTTTAGGTCGCCGGTTTAGGTTGGTATTTGAAGGGGTTGTCGTCGGAGGGTCGGTTTAGATGGAGTCTTAGCTCCTCGTCGGAGCGTAGGGCGGCAGATACCAGGGAGGCTTTGGGCTTCGTCGAGGGTTAGGAGAGAGTTTGAGGGAGAGAAGAAGGAAAACGGCGGGGCTTGGTTTGGTTTGGCTGAAGAGAAGTGATTTAGGGTTTTAGATTTTACCCTAATTACCTATATAACAGAACGCCAGAACGGCGTCGTTTCGTTTAGGTCCAAAACGGTAGCGTTTTGATAGCTGAGGGGAAAACTGTGCGTTTTAGGAAAAGGGGTTAATGTCTGGCTTGGCCATCCCAACCTTGTTTCATTTCGATTTGGTCCCTATACTGAACTTTATTATCTTTTGATTTTGTTGCATGATTTTTCAGCGTTTTTCATGATAGTCCAAATTCATGTTGGGGCCATTTTTTGTGTTGTTTTTACATTGGATGCATAGTTTTAGAAACTTGCATTTTGATCCTATGTAGTATTTTGGTTGTATCATGTTTGGACTGCCCAGAAATGAAAATGTTATGAAAAGAGCCTGTCTTTTGTGTTCTTTACATTTTAGCCCCTTTGTTTAATATTTTATCCATGTTCATAAGTTTAATTTATATTTATTTTAAATGTATGCATGTATAGTATTCCGAGTATGTTGTTAGTACACTTTTGTTTAGTTGTTTTTTTTTTATTTAAAAAAAGCATGTTAATCTCGTGTGCATAACTCGATCTAATCATATAATCGGAATTAAGGGTAATGCCCTTTTAATCTAAAATTATCATAATGGCTTTTCTTAACTTACAGGAAAGTTGTTTTGACGATTTTAAATTAAAATGGTATCCCGTCAGTAACGCCTAATTAAATTTGGATATATCATTGTAAAATTTGGGAGCGAAAGAAAAGGAAATATTCGACCATTTAAACTTTTCGAGAAAAGGTTGTTAGAACTGAACTAAAGATCTGGTCTCGATATTTTTAAATAATCGAATATTCTTTATCTTTCTAATGACTTGGAAATTTTAAATTAAATCTATTTTGTTGCTTTTCAATGTTACAAATTTGCATTTTTTGTTGTTTAAAGGGATCATTAATCAAATTAAATTTGAACTTGTGAAATTCGTTGCAAAGACATTAATTAATCGACTAGGTACCGATTTAGGGCGTTGTGGGGGTGCTAATCCTTCCCCACACGTAACCGACTCCCGAACTCGGATTTTGGTAACGTAGACCGTAAATTTGTCGTTTTAATTAAAATTAATTTTTATTTAAAATGACAACGTTTTTGGGTGCCCAATCACACCCTAATCAAAGATTGGTGGCGACTCCTCGAACCATATGTTTTTATCGTAAAAGGAATTCCAAATTTTCGAAACGAGAGGTTTTCTAAAATTGCATTGTTTTTAATTAAAATTTAATTGAAAAGAGAATAATTAAAGATGATGCGGTTTTCAAAATCTCGCCCCCACCCCGTATTAAAAATCGTTTCGACAGCTTGGCGACTCCGCTGGGGACTTTTTTTAGAGAGTCAGGCCGATCGTCGATTAATTAATTGTCTTTGCAGACGAAATTTATAAGTTTGCTTTAATTTGGTCTTTGATCCCTTGTTTGTTTGAATTGTTTTATTTACATCTTAATTTGTAATTTGGTTAATGAATAAATAGTTGTACTAATGTGTGTTCTACATGTTTCAGTTTTCTGACATTCATTTTAGTCTATTGTTTTTCTTGGATCAAGGCAAAGGATTATGGGTTTCCCCTCACTGTCGTTACAACCATTTCAATATTTAGAGCCTTCTTACTGTGCTCTGTCCCGTTAGGTAGGGGTGAAAGCTACGCTTACGTGAGAAAAATTACTTTTCTCCGCATGGGCTTTAGCTAGTAACCTCTGGGGTACATGCCTTATGTTTACGAGTGAAACATTGAGTTTCCTCGCATGGACATAGGGAAATGTATCCTCTCGAAATTGAACTTGATCCGTTTTAAGCCTATAATGGGTGAGGATCGAGGGTCTGGCAAGCTCAAGGGGGCACCAGCAAAGGACAATTCAAGGACCCTTTTAGTGATACCAGAACTCTGCCCGTCCTATGCTAAATCTCTGTCCACAGACATAGAGGGGAAACTCATTCTAATCTTTTCCTCGAATTTATTTATTTTTGCAAAAAGTATGCGAACTAGAGATCATGTGGTCAGATTCATTTTTTGAGCAAGCATGTGAATTAGATACCATGCGGTTAGGATTTTTTGTGAATAACGAAACCTGAGAGTAGATACCATGTTGGGTAGGATCTACTAAAGCATGATTGGGTAGATATCATGTTGGGTAGATATCATGTGAATAAGGTCTAATATGTATATATTTTCTATCTCCATGTTGTTTATGTATTCTTCGACTATTCATTGTATATACTAACACAGTTTTATTTTTGTTTGTGTTTTGTGTTTTATTTATTACTGCTGCATTGCATCATCATTCATGAAGAAAGGTGTTAATTCACAAGGTGGTCATAAAAGTAGAAGGCGGTCATAAAATGGACAAGAGCTTTCATAACAAGGAAGTGGATAACACAGAAGTGAGGTCGTGGTCCGAGGAAACTCAGAGGAAGAAAGGTGACAGTTTGACTGAAGATTACATATCAGTACTACCAGAGGTTGCTCCGGTCAGTCTAAAGCAAAACGATTTGCAAGAGTTACGCAAAATTTGGGAAAGTTGGAATTCTGATGTGAAATACTCTTTCTGGCAAAAGTATGGTGACATCGCCCTTCTGTTGTACGTGAAAGTAAACGAACCCCTAATCAAAGCTCTCATCCAGTTTTGGAATCCCGCATATAGTTGCTTCTCTTTCAACAAGGAAGACATGACTCCCACGTTAGAAGAATACACCTCCTTGTTTCATTTCGAGACGATACACTTGGACCAAATCTACTCAAAAGCCTCAAGGACACAATCCTTTAAGAGCAAGCTCGCAAGGATTACTGGGATGGGAGAGAAGTGGGTTGCTGATCGAATCCAAAAGAAGGGAGAGTCCGATTGCTTCCCTTGGTCATGCCTCAAGGAGCTTATCGTCAAGCATAGCGATATCAAGAAGAGCATAGAGATGTTCGCCTTGGGAATTTATGGTTTGATGATTTTTCCCGAAAGTTCTTTATCACGTGGAAGCCGCAGTGATCGATTTATTCGAGCGTTTGGAAAGGAAGGTAAACCCTGTTCTTGCAGTTTTGGCCGAAACATTCAGAGCACTTAGCAGTTGCAGAAGAGCTGAGAGTAGCCGCTTCACCGGGTGTGTCCAGTTGCTTACTGTTTGGATACGTAGTCACTTCTGGAAAATTGACCGAGAGTATAGTCGACGATTTTCTACGGCCTATTCACCCTTAAAAGATTTCCTCACTAAAGAGTGGCCAGAGCATCTCACCAGGAAGGATTGGGTTTCACTCTTCAGAAATTTACAGGAGCATGATATAGTGTGGCGTGTCCCCTGGTTAGCTTTTGTGGATGTGTTGTACAAATACGGGGATTCTGATTGGGTAACCATATTAGGGTTATGGGGTGGAGTAGGTTATGCGCCACTGATGGTACTGAGGCAATTTGGGGCACGCCAATTCATCCCAGCTACATCCGGTCTGAAGGCATCTGAATTTGTGTACTGTGGAGATCACTACAAGAAGACTGCTCGTGTAATATCAGAGACGTGGAAGTCAACCTTTAGAACTGATTTCATAGCAGCTGAGGTCATGCTGACACCAGATTACATGGCATGGAGGGCGATGCGAAAGAATGATATCCTTCCGTTGGCGGATCGTGACCAAACAATTCCTTTGGAAGCACCGTTTAAATACGTACCGTCTAAGTTGGAGATACTGAAGAGTGAATTCGAAGCGGAAATCGCCAGGAAGGAAGCAGAGTGTGAGGCCCTTAGACAAAAGAATTTCATGTTGAACATCGATAGGGGGTTCTATAATACACAGTTTGAGCTTATGCGCAAGAGAAATGATGAAGTGGAGGCCAATCTCACTAGTTTACAGAGCGATTACCAAAAGATGAGTCGAGCACAGGCAATTGCTGGCCTCGGGAGAACTTCAGAGCAGTGGCGGTTAGAGCTCCGGGCTGAGAGGGATCGTCGAGTTAGAGACGTCAGAGCCGAGAGAGAGCACCGAGTCAGAGAAGTAGAGACAGAGAAGAAGAAAAGAAATCAAGAACTTGAGTCCGAGAGAAGGTCCTGGGTTAGGGCACTGAAGAGCGAAAGGACAGAGGCTAAAGAGTTAAGACAAAGGTACACCTTGAGCAAGAAGCGAGAAGAAGAATTACATGCTAATATTGAAGAACTCAGAATGAAGGCAAATAACATGCAACTTGAACTTGAGGTTAGAAAGCAAAGAATCGACGAGCTCGAAACTGAGAAGAGGCAAAGCAAAGAAGAGCTAAAATTAGAAAGGCAACATCGGGAGAGTGTGCTCCAAGGCAAACAGGATGAAGTATTCCTCTGGATACAGAGGTGCGGAGCAAAGAACGAACGGATAGAGGTACTCAATCAAGAGATGCATGAAAAGGAATCAAGGCATGAGGAAGAGTTAGCTCGAGCCAAGGCAAAGAATGAAGAGTACAGTGCCTACGTTATGCAGCTTGAAAGTTCCTTATCTGCAGAAAACAGTCAGCGTTGCCCAGTGGATCAAAGGGTTAGCCTCGAGGAGAACGCTGCTTTGCAAAAGAAGATTCATGATTTAGAGGCTGCCAGACACAAATCGCTGGTCTCGAGCGCACCGTCCAAGGCACCAGACTGCAATGGCAAAACTCAAACGATCACTTTAGAGACTGGAAGACAAACGTGAATCACGTGATCCGAGATACCATGAATCAGTTAAGCGGCGTTGCGAGGCAGTTGGGAGAGATGGACCTCCAAGCAAAAGTCATCCAGAGCTATACCAATCCAGCATCAGGCATAAGAAAGAGGGTCGATTGGCTTGTCAATCAGATAGTAGAGCTGAACATGAGAGCTAGGCCATTTTTGTAATGGACTTTTCTTGTAAAGATGATGCTTTTGTCCTAAATGAAAGTTGTTCTAAGACTGATCGCGTCTTATGAATCAATGCCTTTCTACATGCATTTGCATTTTATTTGCAATTTAAGTTTTGTGTTGCATTCTTTATCACACTTTACATAATTTGCATTCATCCTCAAAGCATTAAGATTAACAATAAGGGATACATTACAGAATACTGGGAAATTTCAAGTATCACTATAACACAAGGAAGGCCATGGATGATAAGATTGCTCAAATTGAAAGAACTCAACTGCAATTGCAAGATGATCTAAGGAAAATGCAAGAAGATATGCTTAAGGCTCAAGAGGATATGTTGTCTAAGTTGGCAAATATGCTGGGAGGGAGAAATCCAGAGCACGGAAAGGCCCATGAGCAAACAAGTGAAGAACCACTTTACCCTCCAGGGTTTACCCCGGTACAATCTCCGAATATCCAAGGAACATCTATCCATACCAAAGTACACATAAATCCTGACGGCATTACAGTTAATCCACAACCGGGATCTTGTTCGCATCCCGAAGAAAGCCCATATCACCAGGTCCCTGACCTTGATGAAGAAGCAAAAAAGAGCGAAAACAAGTTGTTGCAGGAGCAATATAATCAGCTAGCAAATGAAGTACAAGCTATGAAAGAAGATACCAGCTTGTATGGTCTCGACGCTAAGGAACTGAGTTTAGTTCCTGATCTGGTCCTACCTCCCAAGTTCAAAACTCCTGGCTTCGAGAAATACGACGGTACCCAATGCCCTTCTGGCCATATCACAATGTTCTGCAGGAAAATGACTGGTTACGTAGGGGACGACCAGCTGTTGATCCACTGTTTCCAGGAAAGCTTAGTAGGCTCAACATTGCGATGGTATAATCAACTAAGGAGAGTTGATGTCAGGACGTGTAAAGACCTGGCCAAATCTTTTCTTGACCAGTATAAGCATGTGAAGGACGTCAGGCCTAACAGAATGGTACTGCAAGCAATGGAGAAAAAGCATAGTGAAAGTTTCAGACAATATGCTCAGAGGTGGAGAGAGGTAGCAGTACAAGTCCACCCACCGTTGGTAGAGGAGGAAACGAACCTACTTTTTGTTAATACCTTGAAGGCTCCATTTTTCTCACATTTTGTTGGTAATCCTTCTCGAAGTTTTGCTGATATAGTTACGGCGGGAGAAATGATTGAAATGGCGATTAAAAGCGGGAAGCTTGAGGGAGGAGATTCCAGCAAGAAACAGCCGATGAGGAAGAAGGAAAACGAAGTCAGCAACGTAAGGCAGTATGATTCCCATAATATCACAGTGTCCAGACCACATGGAACGGTAGCATCACCCCAAATTGACAATAGACAAGGGGCAAGAGATCCAAGGAGAGAGAGGCCTCAATTTAATCCGATTCCTATGACTTATAAGGAGTTATTCCACGAATTATATGATCGACATGTAGTCTCACCTTATCATGTGGACCCTATACAACCCCCGTATCCCAAGTGGTATGATGCTAGTGCTAAGTGCGAATACCATGCAGGGGTTTCTGGACATTCTATTGAAAATTGTCCCGCTTTCAAAAAGGTCGTCCAAGCTCTGAGGAGAAGAAACGTCATCAATTTTGGCGACAGTGAACAGCCAAACATAGCCCAGAATCCATTGCCAAACCATGCAGGAGCCGGGATTAATGCAGTCGCTGAAGAGAAAGGAAGAATGACTGTAAAAAATATTAGTGAGGTGATGTCACCCATGTCTTGGGTGTGGTGCCAAATGGTCAAGATAGGACTATTAAAGACTAATCTGCCATGTGAACAGTTCAACAATGAAGAGATGTGCCACTACCATAACTGCACGAGACACAGTATACAACAGTGTTCTGATTTCTTAGGGCTGGTACAAGAGATGATGGATAGTAAGGAAATCGAGTTCTTCAAAGAAGTGGCTGAGAAAGAAGAAGCGGAAGTTTACGCCTCTGAGGGATAATCCAAATGGGTCTATAGTGCTAGTTGTCCCCTCGTCATTACTCCCAAGAATCGAGTGGCTGGGAAGGTAGCTCCAAAGGTGATTATTACACCTCCCTCTCCGTTCCCGTACAAAGACAATAAACGGGTACCCTGGAGATATACTTGTCAAATAGGAGAGGTGACAAAGCAACAGGAAGAGGTAGATGAAGTGGGACACATGACCAGGAGTGGTAGATGTTATCACAAAGAACCTGAGAAAAAGATTGCTGTCGAGAAAGGAAAAAGTATCGATGTGCAGATAAGAGAAGATGAACCCATCGTCAATGAGCCAGTAACGGAGAATGAAGCGATGGAATTTTTAAAATTTTTGAAACATAGTAAATACAGTATTGTTGAGCAACTGCACAAGCTGCCTGCCCGTATTTCTATCCTATCACTTCTTCTGAGTTCAGAGGCTCATCGCAACGCCCTGTTAAAAGTTTTAAACCAAACCTTTGTCCCGAAAGAGATACCCACAGAAAAGCTGGACCGACTAGTTGCCAATATCCAGGCCGATAATTTTTTATCTTTTTCTGAGGACGAGATCCCTTCTGGGATGATTGGCAATCCTAAGGCCCTACACATCACAGTTAGGTGCAAAGGGCATGTTCTATCCAGAGTACTGATAGATAACGGTTCGGCGTTAAATGTGATGCCTTTGGTGACCTTGAAAAAATTGCCAGTGGACAGCACCCTGATGAGAAGCTGTCAAAGTGTGGTTCGAGCTTTTGATGGAACGAAGAGAGAAGTTCTAGGCAAGATCTATATCCCTTTGACTATTGGCCCGGCGATATACGAAGTGGAGTTTCTTGTGATGGACATCATGCCTACATACAACTGTTTATTGGGAAGGCACTGGATTCATCAGGCCGGTGCGGTTCCGTCAACGTTGCACCAAAGGATAAAATTTGCAATTGATGGGAGGCTTATATGCATTCATGCTGAAGAAGACATTATTGCTTCGGTTTCTACTACTGCTCCATACGTTGAAGTGGAAGAGCAAGCTGTTGAATGTTCTTTCAGATCGTTGGAATATGTCAATGCCATGTTTGTGGCAGAAGGAAAGAAGATCCCGAAGCCTAGATTGTCAAACTGCACCAAAATGGGGCTTAAGCTGACTCTTGGAAGAGGAGCAAAAACTGGCAAAGGGTTTGGACGTCGGTTGCAAGGACTGGTGGGCCCAATCTACCCTGTAACTAAAAGAGACAGGTTCAGTTTAGGGTATCAGCTGACTTTAAAAGAAAAACTGAGAAGCATCAAGAAGATTAAGGAATTGAGAAAGGCAAGATTGACTGGTGAGGACCCAAGCTGGGAGCCCATGACATTCCCGCCATTGAGCAGCATTTTCGTATCAGGAGGATATATGTTTCAAGGGACTTTGGAAAGCAGTAAAGTGATAGTTGAGAATGCCTTGGAGGACTTGGGCATTAATGTCATAACCGATGAGGAGTTCAAAGAAATGAGAGCTACGGGCATTTACCCTGCGCCACTGGGCTTTGTGTTGAACAACTGGACTGCGGAGGAATTGCCTGTAGTTTACAAATCTTTTGCAGAGTAATACACTAGAACTCTTCCCTATTGTTCATACCCTGGGACAGTAGGTGATTTGATGTAAAGGGTTAAGTTGTGTGTTTTTACTTGCTTTCAATAAAAGATGTGTTTTGTTAATTCCCAAATGGCAAACATTTCCTCATGCATTTTTGTTTGAATATACGCATATATTATTTCTTTCTATTTGTTTATATGGGAAAAGATTCTCCCATATGTATATATGTATATATATCTTCTTTTTCGTTATCCTTTCAGGAACTCAGATATCAATAATACGAATGCTAATGACTCTGACCCGGAGATTGATTTCGAGATGCCCATATGTCAAGAGGAAATCGAAGGTTGTGATGATGATGAGGGATGTGAACCACCCTCAGAATTACTAAAGATGGTGAAACAGGAAGATGAGCAGATTCTGCCTCACGAAGAGCTTACAGAGATCTTGAACCTGGGCACAGATGAGGATAGAAAGGAAGTAAAGATTGGTACCACCCTGTCTGCTGAAGGAAGGCAAAGCTTGATAGAATTACTTCAAGAATTCAAGGATGTATTTGCTTGGTCGTACGAGGACATGCCAGGGCTGGATACAGAATTGGTTGTCCATAAATTACCGATAAAGCCTGATTGTAAGCCCGTACAACAGAAACTGAGAAGAATGAGACCCGAGATGCTGCTCAAGATTAAAGAAGAAGTGAAGAAACAATTTGATGCTGGGTTTCTCACAGTGGCCAAATATCCTGAGTGGGTAGCAAATATTGTCCCAGTACCAAAGAAGGATGGGAAGGTACGAATGTGTGTCGACTATAGAGATCTGAATAGAGCTAGTCCAAAGGATAATTTTCCTTTGCCACATATAGATACGTTAGTGGACAATACTGCTGGAAATTCCTTATTCTCATTTATGGATGGTTTCTCCGGCTATAATCAAATTAAAATATACCCTGAAGATATGGAGAAAACAATGTTTGTCACTATGTGGGGGACGTTCTGTTATAAAGTCATGCCGTTAGGATTAAAGAATGCAGGGGCAACCTATCAGAGGGCCATGGTGACGTTGTTTCATGACATGATGCATAAAGAAATTGAAGTCTATGTCGATGATATGATTGTCAAATCCAAGACGGAGGAGGAACACATCAAGAATTTGAGGAAGCTCTTTCAAAGATTAAAGAAGTGCCAACTAAAACTTAACCCAAATAAATGTACTTTTGGGGGTGATATCGGGAAAACTGTTGGGATTCGTAGTGAGCCGAAAGGGAATTGAAATAGATCCCGATAAAGTAAAAGCCATTCAAGATTTTCCAGCCCCAAGAACACAGAAAGAGGTTCGAGGATTTTTGGGGAGATTAAATTACATCGCTCGGTTTATCTCGCAGCTGACCGAAAAATGTGATCCCATATTCCGCCTTCTTCGTAAGAATGATTCAGGAGAATGGAGTGAGGATTGTCAAGAGGCTTTTGAGGCAGTAAAGAGATATCTTTCGAATACTCCGACCCTGGCGCCACCTATCCCAGGAAAGCATTTAATTCTTTACTTGTCCGTTTATGACAATTCAATGGGATGTGTGTTGGGGCAACATGATCAAACTGAGAAGAGGGAGAGGGCTATCTATTATCTCAGTAAGAAGTTCGCTGAGTGTGAGGCCAGATACTCACCAATTGAAAAATTGTGTTGCGCTTTAGTGTGGGCTACCAGAAGACTTAGACAGTATATGTTGTATCATACTACCTGGCTCATATCTAAGCTGGACCCTTTAAAGTATCTAATGGGGGTACCTGCATTGTCGGGAAGGTTAGCCCGTTGGCAAATCCTGTTGTCCGAATTTGATATCCAATATGTAAGCCAGAAGGCAGTTAAAGGGAGCGCCATAGCAGAATTCATTGCGAGTAGGGCTTCAGAAGAATATGAACAATTGAACTTCGATTTCCCGGATGAGGATTTAATGGCTATCTCGAAAGAAGAAACAATTGCTCTCACCGATAAATACTGGAAGATGAACTTTGATGGTGCTTCAAACGCCTTGGGGCATGGGATTGGGGCAATCTTGGTCTCACCAAGTGAAGAGCATTATCCTTTTACCAGTCGGCTCAATTTTGATTGTACAAACAATATGGCTGAATATGAGGCTTGTGTTATGGGTCTTAGAGCAGCTATTGAACTCAAAGCAAAAATGCTGAGGGTATATGGGGATTCAGCTTTGGTAATTTACCAACTCAGAGGAGAATGGGAAACTAAAGATCCCAAACTTGTGGAATATCGTAAATTAGTTCTGGGACTTATTGAAGAATTTGAAGAAGTGACTTTCAATTACCTCCCCAGAGAAGAAAATCAAATGGCGGACGCCTTGGCTACTTTGGCAGCGGCCTTTAAGATGAACGAGCATTCAAATATGATGCCTATTGAGATGAAGGCTTATGAGTATCCAGCCCACTGCTTTAACATTGAAGAAGAAGATGATGAAGGACCTTGGTACTATGATATCTTCCAGTATATAAGATATCAAAGTTACCCCGAACAGGCAACTGAGAATGACAAAAGGACCATTAGAAGAATGGCAGCAGGGTATGTGCTTAATGGTGAGATCTTATATAAGAAAAGCATGGATCAGGTCTTATTAAGGTGTGTGGACACTAAAGAAGCGAAAATGATTCTTGAAGAAGTACATGAAGGAATATGTGGCACCCATGCTAATGGGCATGTAATGGCCAGACAGATTATGAGATTTGGGTATTATTGGTCAACTATAGAAACTGATTGCATCAATTATGCCCGAAAGTGTCACAAGTGTCAGATTTATGGGGATAGAATGCACACCCCTCCTCATCCGTTGCATGTGATGACAGCTCCGTGGCCGTTTTCTATGTGGGGCATGGATGTTATTGGGCAAATTTTTCCAAAAGCGTCAAATGGTCATCGCTTCATTCTGGTAGCAATAGATTACTTCACCAATTGGGTAGAAGCATCTTCCTATGCAAGTGTTACCCAGTCAACGATATGTAGGTTCTTGAAGAAGGAAATCATCTGCAGATATGGCTTACCAGAGAGAATTATCTCTGACAATGCATTGAACTTAAACAACAAGATGATGAAATCTGTATGTGAGCAATTCAAAATAAAGCATCACAATTCCATGGTTTATCGCCCAAAGATGAATGGGGCAGTGGAGGCGGCTAATAAGAACATTAAGAGGCTTATAGAGAAGATGACTGAAACTTATAAAGATTGGCATGAGAAGTTGCCATTTGCTCTGTTTGCTTATCGGACTTCTGTACGGACGTCAACTGGGGCAACTCCGTTTTCTCTAGTTTATGGGATGGAAGCTTTCCTCCCTATTGAAGTGGAAATTCCCTCGCTCCGGGTTTTATCGGAGGTGAAGCTAAATGAGGCAGAATGGGTACAGGCCAGATATGACCAATTGAATCTGATTGAAGAAAAGAGACTGAAAGCTATTTGTCACGGTCAGATGTACCAGAAGCGGATGATACGAGCACACGATAAGAAAGTCCGCCCTCGAGAAATCCACAAAGGCGATCTGGTGCTCAGGAGGATATTGCCCATTCAAAAAGATTTCGAGGAAATGGATGCCCAAGTGGGAAGGACCTTATATTGTCAAGAAAGCCTTCTCTGGGGGAGCTCTAGTCTTAACTGAGATGGATGGGTCTGAATTACCCTACCCAGTGAATTCTGATGCAGTTAAGAAATATTTTGCTTGAAAAAAATAATGAAAAAATGAAATAAAAAAGGAGAAAAAAAATGAAAAAGAAAAATGAAAAATGAATGAAAAAAATGAAAAAAAGAAGGGTTCAAGATGAAAACTCGAAAAGGGCGTCTTGAAACCAAAGGAGGTCTTGAGTCGAAAACCCGCAAAGGGTGACTTGAGTTTTAAATTCAGAGTTCGTGCATGGTGGATGATCTGAATTGTTTTTGGAAGTAGGAAGAGCTCCTGACATGGGTAACAACAATGGCAGTTGGGGTTGAGACCAAAGATTAATGGGTATCGATGGATACAACCAGAGGATAAGTTGAACGCACATGAGATTCAATACTGGTTTACGATATCCAGTAATGGGAGATTTTGGGGTTCAGAAAGAGCTTCGCACTCTTAGGTGTCATCACAATTTTGGAGATCCTTTTCACAGAAGCTACACTCGAGTCATTCTGACGGCATTCAAGTTCAAAAGCATTTTTGTTATTGATATTTGAAGACACCCCTCCTTTTGTTCTTTTTCCAATTAAAAGTTTGCCATGTAGTTGCCTAAAAATTCTCTGCATGTATATAAATAAAGAGACATTTTCCCTTTTCAATTTCCCTTTTACAAGTATCTAATTTTGAAAAAGTTAAAACGCATAGCTTAACTTGTGGTACATGAAATCATTTTGTATTATTATGCAAAAGGTTTTGGAAATGCAGGTATCCTGAAGCTAGCAATGGTTTTAACCCATAAGCTTGTGTGGTTGCGAAAAGCTAAAACTTTGGAATTCATAGAAAATCACAACCATTAATAGATGACCCAAGGATGTTGTCATTTATCAAGAAGATTGGTCAGGGGTACTGGCAGGCCTCAAGAAAGAAAGAAGTCAAAGCCTTGTCAAGCCAAAAGTTATAGTATTGAGAGTATCAACTGGGGTGAACTGGTGAAATGCTCTATGCCCAAAGCGAAACCGAGTTCCATTGAAATCAAAGGGGATAGTATTCTTTCGAAGAAGAAAGTGCATTAAATTGCATAATTGCACACATCGTAGGCATGAATAGGATCATGACATTGCATGATTATTTTAAATGTTTGCAGATTTCCCAACGATTATTGAAGATTGATCGAGTCTTATACTCTCTGAAGAAATAGGGAGCAGACGCGATTGTTGAAGATTGTTCGAGTCTTATACTCTCTGAAGAAATAGGGAGCAGACGCGATTGTTGAAGATTGTTCGAGTCTTATACTCTCTGAAGAAATAGGGAGCAGACACGATTGTTGAAAATCATTCGAGTCTTATACTCTATGCAGAAATAGGGAGCAGACACGACTGTTGAAGATTGTTCGAGTCTTATACTCTCTGCAGAAATAGGGAGCAGACACGATTGATGAAGATTGTTCGAGTCTTATACTCTCTGAAGGAATGGGAGCAGACACGATTGATGAAAATTGTTCGAGTCTTATACTCTCTGCAGAAATAGGGAGCAGACACGACTGTTGAAGATTGTTGGAGTCTTATACTCTCTGCAGAAATAGGGAGCAGACACGATTGATGAAGATTGTTCAAGTCTTATACTCTCTGAAGGAATGGGGAGCAGACACGATTGATGAAGATTGTTCGGGTCTTATACTCTCTGAAGAAATAGGGAGCAGACAAGATTTGTTGAAGATTGTTTGGGTCTTATACTCTCTGAGGAAATAGGGAGCAGACACGATTGATGAAGATTCTTCAAGTTCCTACTCCCTAAGAAAGAGGGAGCGAACCCGTTGACAGAAGATTGTTCGAGTTCTATACTCCCCGAAGAAAGAGGGAGTGAACTCGTTCGCAGAAAATTGTTCGAGTTCTATACTCCCTAAAAATGAGGGAGCGAACCCGTTTTCCGAATATTTTTCAAGTCCCACTATCCTGAAGTTGCGGTGAAACGGATTAATCTTTTGAATATTTCATGACCAGATAAATTTGTCCATCTATTGATCTTTGCTCTATTCTCGTTACACGACAATGAACAAAGAGGGGCAGCTGTAGATATTCAATTTGTTCGGGGTCTTATTCAAAGCCCAAATTACAAAGGGTCATTTGATCCAATTCCAGTAACCCAACCCAAGACCCGTTTGGGGCCAGAACTGATCCAAGCCTAAGGGAAACCCTAAATTTTGATAAGGTTTCCATAACCCTCTAGTGTTGCGCATCAGGAGTCGTTGGATTCAGGGAGATCCAACGGCATGCATGCTTTAGTCATTAGGGTTTTAGGACCCTTCAGCCGCCACCTTGAAGCGCAACCTTCGGATCTGGACCCATCCAACGGTCCAGATCACGTTCTGCTGCCAACCCATCTCGATCACTAAGTTGCCACCGCCGTTGGACCCAATTACGACGGTCGACCATCCCACGTGAACCTTAGCAACCTGCAATATCAAGAGAAACACGACAGAAGACTCAGAACCAAGTTTCAAGGCAGCAAAACCCAAGTCAACGAAGATAAACTTGCAGTAGACTCACGGGATTTTGAAAGAGAAATCAGAAAACAAAAAATTTGTAAAATCTGGTTCTATATAAACCAGAACCAAAATGTTGTAAGGGGTTGGACCCTCAGATATTTTTCCAGAAAAGAAAAAGCAATAAATATCAAATATTTAAGAAAAAAACTACCAGCCATCAACAACAAAAAAACGGGAATAGAGACCAAGCAACCATCCAAGAAGAAAACATAAAAATTAGAACGACCCGTACCTTTCTCGTCTGTAAAGACCCTCGTCGCCCTCATTAGGAGGCAGTGCCTCGTCGAATCGAAGGTAAACCCTTCACCCTTCATTGGTTCCTGGTTGGTTTTAGGTGTGCATGTGCGTTTTGGGTCTGGAGTTGGAAGCTGAAGGGGTAGATCGGGGTTAGGCCATCGTTTTTGGGTTAGGTTCTAGGTAGGTTTCTGGTCAAGGTTGCTCATCGGAGTCCTCCGGGGAGGTAAGAGGTCACGGTGGCCGTAGTGTTGTGAGGTTACTAGAGGGTGAAGCCGGTTGGGTTTTCAAGTTTAGTTTGGGTTTAGGTCACCGGTTTAGGTTGGTATTTGAAGGGGTTGTCGTCGGAGGGTCGGTTTAGATGGAGTCTTAGCTCCTCGTCGGAGCGTAGGGCGGCAGATACCAGGGAGGCTTTGGGCTTCGTCGAGGGTTAGGAGAGAGTTTGAGGGAGAGAAGAAGGAAAACGGCGGGGCTTGGTTTGGTTTGGCTGAAGAGAAGTGATTTAGGGTTTTAGATTTTACCCTAATAACCTATATAACAGAACGCCAGAACGGCGTCGTTTCGTTTAGGTCCAAAACGGTAGCGTTTTGATAGCTGAGGGGAAAACTGTGCGTTTTAGGAAAAGGGGTTAATGTCTGGCGTGGCCATCCCAACCTTGTTTCATTTCGATTTGGTCCCTATAATGAACTTTATTATCTTTTGATTTTGTTGCATGATTTTCAGCGTTTTTCATGATAGTCCAAATTCATGTTGGGGCCATTTTTGTGTTGTTTTTACATTGGATGCACAGTTTTAGAAACTTGCATTTTGATCCTATGTAGTATTTTGGTTGTATCATGTTTGGACTGCCCAGAAATGAAAATGTTATGAAAAGAGCCTGTCTTTTGTGTTCTTTACATTTTAGCCCCTTTGTTTAATATTTTATCCATGTTCATAAGTTTAATTTATATTTATTTTAAATGTATGCATGTATAGTATTCCGAGTATGTTGTTAGTACACTTTTGTTTAGTTGTTGTTTTTTTTTTCTTTTTTTTTTAAAAAAAGCATGTTAATCTCGTGTGCATAACTCGATCTAATCACATAATCGGAATTAAGGGTAATGCCCTTTTAATCTAAAATTATCAGAATGGCTTTTCTTAACTTACAGGAAAGTTGTTTTGACGATTTTAAATTAAAATGGTATCCCGTCAGTAACGCCTAATTAAATTTGGATATATCATTGTAAAATTTGGGAGCGAAAGAAAAGGAAATATTCGACTATTTAAACTTTTCGAGAAAAGGTTGTTAGAACTGAACTAAAGATCTGGTCTCGATATTTTTAAATAATCGAATATTCTTTATCTTTCTAATGACTTGGTAATTTTAAATTAAATCTATTTTGTTGCTTTTCAATGTTACAAATTTGCATTTTTGTTGTTTAAAGGGATCATTAATCAAATTAAATTTAAACTTGTGAAATTCGTTGCAAAGACATTAATTAATCGACTAGGTACCGATTTAGGGCGTTTTGGGGGTGCTAATACTTCCCCACACGTAACCGACTCCCGAACTCGGATTTTGGTAACGTAGACCGTAAATTTGTCGTTTTAATTAAAATTAATTTTTATTTAAAATGACAACGTTTTTGGGTGCCCAATCACACCCTAATCAAAGATTGGTGGTGACTCCTCGAACCATATGTTTTTATCGTAAAAGGAATTCCAAATTTTCGAAACGAGAGGTTTTCTAAAATTGCATTGTTTTTAATTAAAATTTAATTGAAAAGAGAATAATTAAAGATGATGCGGTTTTCAAAATCTCGCCCCCACCCCGTATTAAAAATCGTTTCGACAATGTCCATATAGTCATGGACATCTCCTGGTTCTGCAAGATCTTAGAAACTATTCCCCAATAGTCTCCTTGAAGCGATCTACTTCACTCTCACATAAGCGACTTATGTTGTTTGGTTCACCGAAACACATAGTTTTCATTAAAAGCATTGCTTAACATTTTCCACATTTTAGTCAATGTTTTCATCATAGGAATGGACTTGGAGATAAGAACCCCCCCACAGTGACCTCACAATGTTTATGCAAGTAGGTTGTCCAATTGAACTTAGATCTTGGGATCTCCAGTCAACTAAGTTGGGTTTTCCTTCACATAGCGCCTTAAATATTCATGGGCTTTAATCTCATTAATTTCTATGTTTTATCAACTTGATCTCAATTTAACCTTTTGGTTAGAAGATCTGCAATGTTATCTTTTGATCTTACAAAATCAATAAATATAACTCTTAATATATGCATATGTTGGGCACATACTTTTAGCCATTCAAGAGTATGCTTCAAATTGCTAGACACCCCTACACTTTCAAGTATTTGTAGGAAGGTTTTCTACTTTTCCATAATTCATATGGAGACTTTTCCATTTTCTTGTGGGGTACCTAATTTAAAAGGTAATTAACTTATAAAACAAGTCCCCCACATGTCCTATGACAACCCATAACATTTTAACATGTCGTTAATCATTTCCTTTTTGCTTTGTATTCATGGCTTAATGCATCTTTAGTTGTCTTATGGATACTATATACTTCATAAATGTATCCAATAATCCATTCAAGATGTGATTCCAACATAGGAAGTCAGAATACTTCCGAGCTTTAACAACATTAAATGTGATAATAATGTTTACCACTATCTCTCTAATAATAGAAGGATCATCATGCACATATATGATCAAATTCAACATCGTCAAATGTGACATCCATCGTTGCCATGTTTTGAAATTGTATCCATAGAATTTAATATGTTTCTTATTTTGAATCACAGTCATCGACATCGTTGAATTTTATTTGAAGTCTAGAAAATTATTCCACATCACGATTTAAGTGAATTGATCAGACTAATGTTTCATTTAAACCATGAAAATAGAATTCATAGTTATTCCAACAATAAATTGAACATTAATTCAATTTGTTTTACCATCCGGTTTTGTTAAAAAACAATGTTGTTACTTTTAAACGGTTTCAATTATAAAAAAAATAAATCGAATAAATTCTTATTGATGGAAGAATTAAAATCCTGAAACAAATCTTCTGTTCACAACAAATCATAATTTTGTTTCGGTACCATATTAATCACGAGTAATTTCTGTTAAACAGCGGGAATATAGTAAAACTAAAACTCAAAACAGAAATTCACAATCAACATCATTTTGTTGAAACTATTAAACTCCAGGTTTTAATAAAATTAAAACCCAAAACAAAAATACAAAACCTAACACAATTACATGTATAGCATTAATTTTGATGCCTTATTCTATAACACCAAAGTTTTACTTTTCCATTTTCTAATTTTGCAGATTGAATATTTTATTCTTTGTTGATTTCAAAGGTAGGTAATTCATAGTTTATTGTTTTGATAACAATGACATCAAAGGTCTGGTACCAATTCTATCCTTCCATGACATACTTGCGTCTCACACGAATTAAGCGACTTCGGTGATAAAGAAATTATTGTTATTTTTTGATATTTTGGGTTTGAGAACCAAGAATGTCAAAGGTATGAATGTTCAATGTCAAATGATTGAAAGTTTTATTTGAACAGATTTTACTTTATTATTCCAAATTAATAAGAAAAATATTTTTTAAATACAAAACACATATTGTCAAGTCTTTTGAGTACCTAGAATACCTTAATAAATATTTTTTTCCGAAAAAAAATCATTTTGTACAATCAATTGTGCCAACCATCAAGAACTACCATCTTATAATGTTATAGACATATTAAGAGGTGATGTGCACATGGAAAGAGAACTTTTTGTTCCCTTCAAATGGTCCTCGCAATATGACCATGTGAAACAACGTGAAATGTTGCAATAGTCCAACATAATGTTACGCAAGTAAAGAAATTTTCGATACAAGAACGGAGATGGTTAATAAAGTCTGTTCACCTTCTTTATATATATATATATTAACAACATAGAATTTTAATATAGGATAAACATAAATATGTGATTATACCTTATAACGCTTCATCTCTTATCTCTTCTTTTCATTTCCCGAGATTTCTTATGATTGAAAAAAATCCCAAATTATTTCAAAGGAAACCAAAGGTTGTCATTTCTCGGCCATTCCGTATTCAGTAGAGAAGGCAGAGACTTGCCGAAGCATTGTTCATTGGATGGAAACCAAGGTGTGCGTAACAGGTGCAGCTGGCTACCTTGGTTCTTCCCTTGTCAAAAGACTCCTGGAAATAGGATACATTGTTCATGCAACAAAAAGGAATTTGGGTTACTCTTTCCCCTCTCTCTTCTACCTTTTTGCTGTCAAATCTAATATAAAACTGAATAATCTGGATCAATCTGTTTTTAAGTTGTTTTTTTGGGTACGATATAATCAAACGTTGCAGGAGATTCTGAAAAGGTAGGGCTTCTTAAAAGCCTCCCACATGCAGAAACCAGGTTAATGTTAAGGTAGGACTTCCCCCGGTGCTACTCCCCTAGCCTTCGGCAACGACTTGTTAAACGTAACTAACATCCTTCTACATTCATGGTACGTAATAAACAGGATGCAAATTAATCCGAGATTTATATTGCTGCAGGCATATGCAAGCTCGAAAGCAGCTTCCGGGAAAGAATTGCTGAGGAATAATTAAACTAGAGCCAGTGTTTTGCGTTTGTGGTCCTTTATGGCAACTCTAATCACATCAAAATTTGATCCTCTTTATGAAAAAGGATAAAAAAAAAACTTGTTTTTCTCACCTTGGGAAATTTGATCCAAGAATACTTTCTGCCCATATTTTCGCCAGCTGTATCCATCGTCAAAAGGATTGTCTAATGTCACCCCGGAGCAAACCCGAACTTGCTCGGTCACCCAAGACGATGTTTTCCTCTTTTTGAACACATCCCTTTTATCAGAGGTCTCGCTTCCGGAGCTGCTATGGTCGACGGAACGGCATGATTCGATCGCCGTAACCGCGGGCTTAGTTCCAACATCGAAACCGTTCCAATTCAGAATGAAAAGAGCTTTCTCGTAGGAACAAAGTATTTTCTGGAGCAAGAGTTGGCGTGTTTGGTGAGACGAAGTAGGATGGAGATGCTTCATGAGCTGATTAGTCACCTCTCCCCTCTTTTAGCTCATTCAAAAGAGTCCTTAGCTCCCAATCAATTGCAGCCAAAAGCAAACAACATAAAAAAGAAAGCTCAAAGTCCAAATGATGGTTAGGTACAAGAAGGGATGAAGATAGTGAGGCTATGCATGCAAGGGAGAGTTAAAAAAAGAGGGTTTTGTAAGACAAAAAAGAAGGGCAGGAAAGGAGGAGATTGGAAAGAAATGAGGTGGAAAGAGGTGGGAATTTGTAGTGTCACGCATAGGGGTGGAGTGTGGATAAAAAGGAGGCTGAGGTGCTGATCAATTTCAAGTGAACGTACAATATAAATTAGAGTGACAAAGTTTGGTTTTCTAGAGAAACTAAAAGAGAGTTGAAAGTCTGAAATATATGAAAATGAATCTTCAAATTCTTCTGCTTCCGCGTTGTTGCTCATTAATTTCACTTATATTACTAGGGTGAATTACATGCTTAACCATACAAGTTTTAATATGTTTATTTTTTGATCATTCAATTATAATTTATTTTTCACTTTGTTAATTGAACTCGTTTAGTTCATTTGGATGTTAAGTCTTAACGCAAGTAATAAAAACCTGTGTTTCAGATTTTTATTTATTTATGAAAATAACCTAAAATTTTAATATTTTCTTTCATTATGAATGACATTTTTCTGTGTCATCGTTGATCGTCATTTGTGACGTAATTGGTATCAAAATATTTTCATTTCTCTCCTATTTTTCTCTCATATTAGTGATCTTTGAAATTGAAAAAAAAAATCAAGTTTTTGACCTTATCTTATTCTAAACTCAATCTCCAATACTTGACTTCCTTGTTGATCTCTCTATTACTCAGATTTAAATGAAAATACTTTATGGTAACAAATTAATGGTAGCTGTGGAGGAAAGTTTCAAGGTTTTCTTTCATAAATTTATCAAAAATGTTAAAGAATTAACAATCGAATAGCCTAAACAAGCGAAATTTAATAGTTCAGTCATCAAATTATTTTTTATAATTGGTAACCAAAATATAAGCACATTGAAAGTTAGATGACTGAAGGTGTAATTTATCCATAATACAAGGTAAATTTATGGCTGCATGACGTTTAACCCCTCGATTACGTAGATGTTTGATGGATGGATCCGCCGATGTGAGGCTCATGCATAGTTTGGGATTCAATCTTGAATCCAAAACCACGGCAAAGAACACAAGATTGGTCCACGTCCAGCCTTCCAGATTTTAAAGGCATTTTTTACTTGCTTCACATCATATTAAATACAAAATTAGCGTTAGAAAAAGATTTCGGTTTTGTTCCTTTGAATAAATTACATAAATATTAATTGTTATTCAAACAAATTGTTTATTAAAAAATAATTAAATTGAGCGAGTAAAAAGTTTTTCCCTAATTGTAATGAATAATCAATGTACATTGAATCAACCCACCTTAATGATAAAAAAAATATTATTCTCTCATTTGTTCTGAGTTCCGGCAGTTATATTTATAGGACACGGTAGATTAAAAAAGTTTTAAAGAAATATTATTTTATAATTATTTTTAAACTATTAAAAAAATAAGTTAACATAAACACAGTACTGATAATTAATATATATATATCTAAATTTAAATTAAAATAAATTTAATGAAATATACATCTAAACTAAAAATGGACAGATTTGTGTGGTAGAATTCATTTGTATAATATTGTATTTTTTTTAGTTTTATAGTGATTTTAGGTTGAACATGAATTGATGACTAATATTATTCATCTTTTATATAAAAATCTTCTTATTTTAATTTTTTTTATCTCGGCTATCATTAACATAAAATTGAAAGGGGGTATAATTGGATTCTTTCTGTATATATATAATGTGAAAATTTTAATTTTATGTCTATTTAAATTTTAAAATCTAAAACCTTAAATTTAAATTATAAACTTAAACAATGAATTCTAGATTATAAAATATAAAATATTTAGTGTGATCCAAGCGAACTAGGTGATTAAGCAATTGTTATTATTATTAAGGTCTTGAGTTTGAGCACTGCATATGTTAGAGGTATGAGCATGGACGGATGCAGAATTTTATGTTAGGGGACGAACTTAAACTTATAAAATTTTAGGAGGGTAAAAATACATTTTTAATAGGAAATAAATAGAAAAAAATTTAAAATATATGATAATTTTATATTTTTTAGGGGGCGACCTCCCTCACTTAGGTCTATCCATGTGTATAAGCCTTGTTGTCAAAATAACTTAGAGTCTTTGAAATGATACTCTTTATATCTATCCTAAAATTATAAAAAAAACATTTTAAACCCAAAATAAAACTCTTAAAACAAAATAGATAAATTTGTACAAACTAAAATATGTATCAAATAATTTTCCTTAGAAATACTTTTATAAATATTAATATATTAACTTAATATATTGAATTAATTTTAAATAAAGTAAAACTAATTCAAAGATCGAAAAGTTATATGGATAAAATTAAAATTTTATTAGAAGTGTGTTAGTTAATTATTTTCTTGTTAGCTTATAACTAACATAGTTAGGAAGTTAGTTTGTTATGTAGACTGTATATATATGTGTTAAGATAGCAATTTAATTATCTTAAGGAAAAAGAAATGGAAGGCACGAGGGAAAAGAGAGACGGTACCCTCTACCATTTTATTAATGAAACTGTAAAATCTTTGAGAAAGAGACCAACTATTTATATACAAGAGAGAGAGACTGTGAGATTAGCTATAGAGTACTGTACCTAACAGCCCTAACATACTTGAATTCAGCTCAGCAGCTAAACCAAAACAAACAGCAAATGTAAAATAATGAGATAAATGCGTGTAACAATAAATGCATGCGGTGAAAACAAATACTTAACAAACCCAAATACTAATATACTCCAACAATATGTATATTAGAAAATTCTATCACATACATCGGATACCGCAACATATAGCTAAAGTAACGTATCGAAATATATCACAAATTAAATTGTCTTTATTAAGTAAATATTAAAAAGGATAAATTACAGTTTTGTACCTAAATAATCATTTTTTTAATTTTAGTATTTAAATTTTAATTTTTTTAAATCATTGACGGTAATGCTTATATGGCATGACATGTCAATTTTTTATTTTTAATTACTACATTTTTAATTTGTTAGTATCTTTTAATTAATTTTGTTCAATCAATTAGGTGTAGGAAAAAAAGATAGAAATCATTCTTGCTTCTAGGATGGATTGATCTTGAGTATCTTACATGATAAACAAATCACTCAATCATTAAGCTAAACTAATCATTTGAGTATATCAAAGTAAAGATAAATTAGATTTGGGGTGCTCTAAAATCACAGCTCCGGTAAATATCAAATATGGAAAACCCTTGAGAAAACCTTTGCAATCCTCCGCCGCCTGTCTTTATTCCCCCGGCTCCTCCTCCGATCGGCGGAAGCCTTGTTGGAAATCTTCATGGGATTGAAGTGTTGTCATCTTCATCTTTGGAGAGATCAGATTCCCTTTCCCCGATGAGGATCAACGTGTTACTAAGAAAGTTCGTAATAAAGAGTTGAATGATGATCGAATTGAGGAAGATCATAATGGTATAGAGATGCAATCGAATGTGAATAGCAATGGAGAAGGAACTCGGCAACAGGAGAAGCAATCTTACGCCAGTGTAGTCACGAATCAATTGAAGCAGTCGATGGATGTTGTTTCGCTTCAGGCTATGGATGAGGTGGTGGTTCTGGATGGTGAATGTGTCGTGGAAAACAATGGTATGTATCAAGTGATTCAATTCGCGAATCAAGTTCATGATAGAATTGACTATAGCATGCGATGCTCGGTGATAGTCCAGCTCCTGGTACGTGCAATTGGTTTTAAGACGTTGTTGAATCGGATTGGTTTATAATGGCAACTTCAAGGACAATACCAAGTCATCTATTTAGAGAATGATTATTTTCTGGTGAAGTTTGAGAGTGAACAGGATTATACTCATGTCTTGATGGAAGGGCCGTGGACGATTTTCGGATGCTACCTTACGGTTCAACAATGGAGTCGTACATTTTCCACATCAGAAAAACATCCATCGCAGGTAATCGTTTGGGTTAGATTACCAGGGCTTCCTTATAGATACTACTCAAAGGCAATCTTTCGCCGTATTGCTATGGTTATTGGTCAGGTGGTGAAGATAGATTATAGCACAAATTCGGGAGAGAGAGGTCGTTTTGCTCGTTTGACGGTATTAGTGAACCTTAATAAACCATTAATTCCATGCCTAAAGATTAACGAGTTTTGGCAAAAGATTGAGTACGAAGGACTACAACAAATATGTTTCCAATGTGGAATATATGGGCATTCGAAGGAAGTTTGTGGCTCTATTGAAGCGAATACTAGTAAGGGATGAGTAGATAGTGGTTCAAGTTTTGATTTGGATAAAGAAGTAGGTGGCGAGGAGTCGGGTTTTGGACCTTGGATGATAGCTGAAATGCGTAGAAGGCGTACGAAGAAAAATCCTAATTCGAATATGAAAACAAGTAGTAATGATACAAGGGGCTATCGGTTTGCTATTTTAGGTGAGGAAAATAATGGCATCGATAAAGTTTCTACGGAAATTTCGAAGGTCACAGTGGATGTAACAAACAACAATGAAGGTCCAGCCAACATCTCTCGGATAGATTCACGAGTAAAAGGAAAAAATCCTCGTCTGACGAAAAAAACTAAGGATATTAGGACATTACAGTATGTGGATAAGGAATGCTCCAGCAGTGGATTAATGGAGACTGGTGCGAGTAGGCTGGGATATCCAGGTCGATCCGAAAAGCTCAGGAATTTCAAACGTTACAACAGATAAATGTGATAGCCATGAAGGACGGGGTTATTCCTCAAGTGACGGAACATCACAATGCTAAAGCTACGGGTAACCATTCGGCGGTCACCATCTTAGAAGATAGTTGGCTTCATGTCGCAAGCAAAAACACTAGGAATAAAGGAAATAAACGTGAGGTTGGGGGTAGTTCTAAATGACTGGAAGTGAAGAAGAAAAATAAAGATTTTAAACTCTCATCGACATGTTTTACAAATTGGTTACGGAACGCAAAATTCAACACACATCTTGAGAGTAGCATGATGCATGGAGAGGGCTCTTTTCCTTGCGTGAGAACGGAAGGCAAGAAGGATCACTGCCTGTAATGGGAGCGTTGGAAACAATTACAGAAGAGGTTATAATACCGGATGGCGAGAACGCTAACCCGAATCTACCCCAGTAAGGGTGTGCTCTTGAATTTTATTTATTTAATGGTTAATATTATCTTTTGGAATTGTCAGGGCGCTGGTAGCCCAACTTTCAGACGTTATCTTCGAGAACATTGTTGGGAAAATAGACCCAGAATTATTGCGTTACTAGAAACCCGAATTAGTGGTAATGCTGCCGAGAGGGTTATTCGGACGTTCGGTTTTCAGAACTCGTTTAGAGTTGAAGCTCTTGGTTTTAGTGGTGGAATTTGGCTTCTTTGGAAAGATGAGTTAAATGTTGAAATTTTATCTATTTCACCTCAGTTTATTCACAGTATATGTTGGTCGGATGCTGTAAATAGATGGTTATATTTTACTGTAGTTTATGCGAGCCCTCAAGTGGAGAAACGCAAGTTAGTATGTAAGTATCTTATTAATATTGATCCAGGCGAGAATGAAGCTTGGATTTTGGGTGGTGATTTTAACTCCATCATTCGGCTCGATAAAAGGGATGGAGGTTCATGTCGTGGATCAAGAGTCAGTAACTTATTTACAAAGTTTGTGTTTGAGTTGGGGTTATTCGAAGTGGGCTTTCGAGGGCTGAAGTTTACGTGGAGAAGAGGCAATCTTTGTAAACGTTTAGATCGATGCCTTATGAATAGTTGATGGGCGGATATTTTCTCGGGTACTGTGTTGTTGCATCTTGATAGGGTGGGTTTGGATCATTGCCCTCTTCTCCTTAAAGCACAGAAAACTACGAGAGTTCAGGGGAATCGACCTTTCCGGTTTATTGCTGCATGTAAAGACCATCCTCAGTTTAAGAGTTTCCTGTCGGAAGCTTGAAATAATGAAATGGATGTTTTACACAACATTAATTCATTCCAAATCAAATCTAATGATTGGAATATAAAGGTATTTGGTCACATAGGGAGAAAAAAAGGGTTGTTGGTCCGTTTACGAGGTATTGAAAGAGCGCTTATTTCTTGCTATTCTCGAAGATTGGTAGACTTGCAGTACATGTTGAAAAATGAACTTGAAAATGTACTACAACATGAGGAGAGTTTGTGGCTTCAAAAATCAAGAAACCAATGGATACTCCTTGGGGATAAAAATACAAAATACTTTCATGCATGTACGATGCTTAGGTGTCGCCATAATTACGTAAGAGCTCTCAAGGCTACGGATGAAAGTTGGATATCAGATCAAGAAGTTATTTGCTCGATGGAAGTAAATTATTACAGGGATTTATTCACCAGTAGCAAGGTAGACGGAAATGTGTATCCGATTAAGGGTTGTTTTCCTGTAACCCCTGAGTCAGATTTGAGTGGGCTTACGAGACCTTTATTTGTGGAAGAAATTCGGGATGTGTTATTTAGCATGAGTCCACTAAAGGCACCCGGAGTGGATGGATTTCACGCTTTTTTCTACCAGAAAAATTGGACTACAATACAATATGGTGTATATCGATTGATTAAGACCATATTTGAAGGAGGTGATTTTGATAATGAACTCAACCGAACTCTCTTGGTGCTTATCCCAAAATCTAAATCACCGAAGTCGTTTAGTCACTTTTGACCTATTAGTTTGTGCTCAGTGCTTTATAAGCTAGTTACTAAGATCATTGTGAATCGACTAAAACCTTTCCTGAGTCATCTTGGAGACTCAAACAAGCTTTGTTCCTGATAGATCGATAACGGATAATATTATTATTGCACAAGAGGTAGTCCATTCCATGAGATTGAAGAGACGTAAGATTGGTTATATGGCTATTAAAATTGATCTTGAGAAAGCATATGATCGTCTTGAATGGCCTTTCATTGATGATACGTTGAAAGAGCTTCGCATCCCGGACAAACTCAGGATACTTATCATGCGATGTGTATCTTCAGTCTCGACCCAGGTACTTTGGAACGGTGCTATGTCGACATCTTTTAATCCATCACGAGGGCTTCGCCAAGGTGATCCTTTATCACCTTACTTGTTTGTGATGTGCATGGAGAGGTTGGGGCATGCAATAGCTGGAGCGGTAAACAATAGTAGGTGGAAACCTATTCGCTTGTGTCGTAACGAGCCTGTTCTCTCCCATCTATTCTTTGCATATGACTTGGTACTTCTTGCCGAGGCTTATATCGAGCAATGTAATGTTATACGGGGTATTTTGGAGCTATTCTACAATTCTTCGGGTCAAAAAATAAATATCAAGAAAACTACTATTTATTACTCAAAGAATGTGGATTTGGATTTGAAGAATTTCATTAGTGCTTCTTTTGGCTTTCAAGAAGTTTAAAATTTGGGCAAGTATTTGGGAGTCCCTCTGTTACATTCTCGGATTACGAAATCTTCGCATAGTTATATTGTTTCAAAAGTCCGTGACAAGCTCACAGGGTGGAAGGAAAAATCTTTGTCCTTGGCTGGGAGAATCACTTTGGCGAAAGCAGTACTTTCGTTAATTCCTTCTTAATCAATGCAATCAACGATGCTTCCAAAAGGGATATGTGAAGATATAGAATGGTTAATTCGGGGTTTTATTTGGGGTCGTGCTGAGAATAGAGGTGGAGTACCTCTTGTTCGTTGGGAAAACATTTGCAAACCAACAATTAACGGTGGCCTGGGTCTACGAAAATTAAGTGTTCAGAATGAATCTTTTCTTAAGAAACTAGCTTACAGATTGGTGGTTAATTCGATAAGCTATGGGATAGAGTGTTACGCTCTAAATATAAATGGGTGGGATTGATCCCCGAATCCATTAATTATACGAGAAGCTCGCATGTTTGGAAGGGTATTTCTCAAGTATGGAATGAGGTGCGGTGAAGTTTTGTTTGGAATATTGGTAATAGTTGTAATGTAAATTTTTGGAGGCAGGAGTGGCTTAGCGACGTGGGACCTTTGGCGAGCTTTGTTGTTAATATAGTAGAGCGAGATAATCTTCCACGGCAGTCGGTTTCTTCTATGGTGGATCATAATGGTCAATAGCGTGGGGAATTCTTTATTGATAAACTACCGAACACCATTCTTCAACGTCTGGTAGCAACAATGCCCCCTCGACAAAGCTGTCGGATAGATGCACTGGGTTGGAAATAGAGCGTTGATCGGAATTTCTCTGTCAAATCAGCTTATGAGTTGAGGCGGGGAATCTTAAATGATGATACGCATAAAGTGTGGGAGGTGATATCAAAGTATCGTGGACTCCAGCGGATCAAAATTTTCTTATGGTTGCTAGCGAATGATCGGCTTCTTACTAATTCAGAGCGAGTACGACGACATATGGCCACAACTAGCAACTGTGGAATTTATGGACAGACGGGTGAAACACTGGACCATCTTTTTCGCCAATGTCACATGGCTATGGCTATTTGATCATCATTAGTTAAAACTGAAAAGTTAGAGGATTTTTGTACAAGGGATATCAAAAACTGGATGCAAATCAATATCACTTCCCCGGGGTTTTATGCACGTGAGGATAATGATTGGGACTTACAGTTTGGTTCAATCCTTTGGTTAATCTGGAAACATCGGAATGGTAGAATCTTTGATCTAGATTACTTTGAGCATGAGTCCGTATTAGAGAAGAGCAGGCGCCTCACTCTTGAAGCTAACCGTGCAATGGAATCATCTTTACCAACGATTCATCTTTCTCACCGTCCATGTACTATACATGATGCTTGGCAACCGCCTCCTCACAATTGGTGTAAAATTAATACTTATGCGTCCTGTAACATAAGAAGCGGATTTGCATCATGTGGAGGTGTTTTTCGATCTTCAAATGGTGGTTGGATGTTTGGATTCTCAAAAGTGATCGGAATATGTTCTATAGTTGAAGTGGAGTTATGGGGTATCCATGAAGGTCTTTCTCATGCTTGGAATCTAGGAGAGCGACTAATCACGGTGGAAACAGATAGTTTGGAGGCTGTCCGGATGTTAAAAGTAAATAATAAGAGAGGCTTGATCTTTACTCTTATTGACCATGTGAATGAGTTGATTAACAGAGATTGAAATGTTGTTTTAAAGCACATAAGCCGGAATGCAAACAAGGTGATGGATAGACTAGCTAAGATTGTCGCGACTAGAGGAGAAGTTCATATGGTTTTCTCCACCCCACCATTGGAAGTGATTGATTTTATCCAACAGGAAGCTGAAGATTACACGTTGACAGCATGAGCTTAATCATCTGTA